TGCGAGTGTGGGGGAACGGGCACCGGGAAAGTGAGGATATAGGGCGGGATGGAGAGGGAACTGGGGCACCGGGATGGGGAAACAGGCACGGGGATGGACGGGGAAAAGGAGGCACAGGGATGGGGAAACGCATGGGAATGGATGGGGAAAATGAGGCATGGGAATGGAAAGCAGGCACAGGGATGGAGAGGGAGGATGAGGCACTGCGATGGGGGAACGGATGAGGAAAATGAGGCACCGGGAGGGGAAACAGACACTGGGATGGACGGGAAAATTAAGGCACTCGGGAGAGGGAAACTGAGGCACGGGGGTCAGCATCCCCCCCCGCGGCAACAAGTGCGGCACAAAACCACGGACAGCGAGTCGTGCCGGGCTCCCGGGCTTGTATAAACCCCGTAACAACAGGAGCTGCGAGCGGGGACGGCGGCACCGGCCGGGCTGGGGACGCCCCGGGGGCACCGCACCCGCTGTGCCCCGCGGCGGGGTCCGGGGTGCCGCGGCGGGCTCAGAGCAGGGTGATCTCGCTGGGCGGCAGCGTCAGCCGCTTCTCCCGGGCGCCCAGCAGCCTCTCCATGTGCACGGCCACCACCCGGCACAGCTCCAGGCCCTGCCAGGGGGACACGCCGGCGGTCAGTGGCCGTGCCACTGCCATGGGACCCCCAGCGGGGCCCCCCCCCCCGGGTGTCCCCAACCTGCTCCAGCTGCAGCTGGGTGATGCCCTGGGCCAGGAGGTCTCCCAGCGTGATCTCCACGTAGGGATAGCTGGATCCGGCCGTCGGCCGCTGCGTCCGCGTGGACTGGATCTCGTTCAGCGAGAACTTGGCGATGGGTTCCTGGTGGGAACAGGGGGAGTGGCCCCGTGAACCCCACCGAGGGGAGCGGGGACCTCAGGTTGGACAGAGCTTGGACCTCAGGTTGGACAGAGCTTGGAGCAACCTGGTCTAGTAGGAGATGCCCCTGGAACTGGATGAGCTTTAAGGTTCCTTCCAACCCAAACCATTCCATGATCCCACATGTCCCACACAGCCCCCCACCTACGTGGGTCTCCTTGCTGAGGAAGTTGAGGCCGTTCTGGTTGACGGCCAGGATGCAGGGCGAGACGATGGCGTTGTTGCTGCAGCTCTGGATGTAGAAGAAGGATGAGCCAAACATGGGGTAGGCACTCAGCAACCCTGTGGGGTGGAGGATGGGGTCTCAGTGCCCACTGCCACCCACTCCTGCCAGGTCCCCAGGGTGGACTGCACCCACAGGTTCCCTGCCAAGGGCTCAGCCAGCTCCATGCCTGACAGGAGCTGATTTGGTTCCCGGAGCCTTGCACTGCTTCAGGCTCTGGACCCTGGAGCAGCTAAGGGAAACTGGGGCCTGGGAGCAGCCTGTCCCGTTCTGCCAATGCATCCTGCCCTCCATGTGCAGCACCTCAGGCTCCACACAGGGAGCTCCCTGTCCCAGAGTCCCTGCAGAGGAGCCACCAGCAGAATTCCACCCCTATCATCATCATCACCCTCCAGGCAGGATGATGCTTCCCATACCCATCACCTCCTGGGCAATTCCCATCCCCAACAGCCTTGTATCTCCAGCAGGACTGTGTCTCAAGCAGCACTGCATCCTCATTAGCACTGTGTCCTCATTAGCATTGCATCCCCTCAACATCCTCTCCCTATCTGTGTCACCTCCCTGTCCCCATCCCTGTCCCCTCACCCAGGAACTGTGCCCTGGCCTGGTGGGCGCTGAGGGCCTTGGCTTGCTGGACGTGCTGGGTCACCATCTGCAGCCAGGACTGGGGCTTCAGCAGGCAGAAGAGCTGTGGGGGGACGTAGTCCTGCATCTCCCGCCTGCGGGGAGCCCGAGGTCAGGGCCAGCACTGGCCAGTGGGTCCCAAACCCCACGGGATGCGTGTTTTTCCCCCCACAATGCCCCATCCCTGGCCGTACGCAGTGGGGAGGTGGTGGTGGTCCTTGGCTCGGTGCTGGAGGGCAGCCAGCTTGGCCACGTGTGGGAAGTGCTGCTCTCCCGGCCTCGAGGGTGGCAGGACGGTGAACAGCCCCTTGAGGTAGTCAGGGAGCACCTGGTGGGGGGAAACAGGGCACAGGGACACGGCTTGGGGACAGGGCACGCTCTGGGGGGGACAGGGAGGTGGCCCTGTGGGAGGCTGATGGGGTGGCCCGACCTGGTTGTAGTGGACGGTGACGTAGAGCTCGTTGTCGAACTTGAGGGGCTGGCTCCAGACCACGCGGCGGCACCAGAAGGTGTAGCTGGTGTCCCGGCGCTCCGTCTCAGCAGCCACATCCAGGACATATTCCCGGCGGGTCAGTGGCCGCACACTCTGCCCTGTGCCACCCGAGAGCCTGAGCGTGGCCACCACACCACGAGCATGGCCACCCCATCCTGTCCCATCCCATTCCTGCCAGCCCCTCACCTCTGTTGGTCACCACGAAGAGGATGTACTCCTCCAAAGCCTCTGGATGCTGCAGCCCCATCTCACAGCACAGCTCCTCGATCACATCCAGAGCCACCTGGGCACAGGGACAGGTGGCTGGGGCACTGCCACGTCCCCCTGTTGTGCTCCAGGCCACCAAGATGTCCTGCATTGAGGCTCATCCCGTGCGGCTGCCCAGGGAAGGGATCTGCCTTTCCCAGTGAACAAAGTCCCACAGCGGGAACAGCTGAGGAGCGCAGCCCCCCCACATCTGCACCCTCTGAGGGGTCACCACAGTCCTGGGGTGCACGGAGCCTCCTGCCCCTCTGACTCACCGAGCACGTCTTGATCTTGAGGTGCCTCTCGATGCCACCGGGCAGGAGGAAGAGCTGCCGCTTGGCGCTGCGTCCGGCCTGCACGGGAGGACTCGTTGGGGTGCAGGGGGGCCCTTTGCACAGCAAGACCCCAGAGGACACTCCAGCTATCCCACAGGACCATCCCATTGGGATCATCCTATCTCTTGCCCATCCTGCCTTTGTGAGCCAACACACCTCCAGCTCTGTGTCCACAGAGCTGCATCCCCACTGAGGACCCCTGCAAGCTCAGGGCACCCCCAAAGCAGTGAAGAGCAGACCCCAAAAAGGACTGTGTTCTTTTGGGAAGATCCCAAAAAAGGATCAGCTCAGTTCCAGAGCAGTGTCTGGGCAAAATCCCAAGCCCACGGAGGGATCCCGAGACTATGCAGGTATCCAGAACTTCTAGGGGGCACCTCAAGTTGATACCAGCCCTGCCCCACATTCCACAGGCACCCACAAGCCCCCAGCCTCACCACCATGGCCTTGAGCTCCATGCTGCTGGGGAAGATGCTGCGGCCGCCGAACTGCAGGGTTTTCCGCAGGTTCTGCTCGCAGGCTTTGGCGATGCCTGGCAGGAACAGGGACTGGGATGAAGGACGGGGCTGAGCCACCACTCCTGAGCCCTGTGACATCCCAGGGTGTCCTTCCCCACCATGCACCCAGCACCCTGGGGCGTGCACAGCCCCTACCATGGAAGGGCAGCTCCGGGTGCCTGCTAGCGTCCTGCAGGAAGGCCAGGAGAAAGGGCCGGAGCACCTCGGAGCACTTGTAGTAGGCAGCGAGGATGTAGAGCAGCCTCCAGCCCTTCTGGCAGCTGTCCCTGTGGGAAGAGCCAGGGCTAAACCACTGAGCAGGGTGAGGGTGCCCACGGTGGCACCCATCACCCTGGGGATGGGGTCCCCAGGTCTCCTCCAACGCTGTGGCAGCTCAGCCCAGCCAGGGACACAAGTGTCCCCAGTGCCAGCCTCTGCTGTCCCAGCTGGGTGTAGGGACTCACGTCTTGGAGCTGGTGTTGTTGGTGATCTGCTTGATGATCTGGCAATACACCTCATCCCGCAGGACCTCGTGCTCCGCGCAGAGCTGGGGACAGGCATAGCTGCCACTCCCTGCCCAGGCCACCCCCAGGACTCACTGCCCCGGTGGTGGATTTACCTTGAGGATGGTGCAGACAGCGTCCAGCTCCGTCTGCCCCCGCAGAGGGTGGTCGCCCATGAACTTCATCACAGCTGGGGATAACAAAGCCACACAGTGACACAGCTCAGTGCATCCCCAGGGACACACTCCCCTGGGTGGGCACGTTCCAAGCACATGGGGCAGTGGGACCAGAGGACCTAAGTCCCACAGGCCACTCCATCTGCCCGTCCTGGTCCTACCCCCACAGCCCTCAAAGGATGGGCTGGGAATGGCCAGGGGACAGGGGGACATGATGCTCATGTCCCTGCCTACCTTGGAAAGCCTCAGCAGCCAGTTTGTTGATGCCACCATCCACAAATTCGATGAGTGACTCCTGAATGGGGATCTGGAGTGGGGGGAGAGGGTCAGCTCCCGGGAGCAGCCAGAGGGATGCTGAAGTGCCATTCAGGGAGCTCCCCCTGGGATCTTGGTGGGACCTGCAGGTGACAGCAGGGCAGGGGTACCCCAGGCTCCCCGCTTCCCTGTACCTTGGTGAACGTCAGCATCTCCAGCACACTGGGCACATCCCTCCTGGCCTTTGTCCCACAGGAATCCCTGGGACAGAAGTTCAAGGGAGCAGGTGGGCACAGGTGTCCCCACCACGGCGTGTCCCTGTCCCACCGCCGGACACTCACATGGTCCCATGTCGTGCCGCACGGAAATGCCGCTGGGCAAAGGCCAGCATGGGGCAGGTCCCTGTGACATCCCTGAGCTGCTCGACACCGTCTCCCTCCAGACCCTCCGCAAAGGTGGCACTGGCCGGGGACACCTGCGGAGCAGGGCAGTGGGCACCGGGCACAGCCAGCACCGTGTGGCAGCCCCAGCCCAGAACCCACCTCGGCCTTCCGGTCCAGCTCCTGGGCGGCAGCAGTGGAGGCCACGGCCACGGCCACGGCCGCCGAAGCTGCCACCCTGCCCTGCTTGTCCCTGGGCTCCTCCTTCCTCTCCGCAGGCAAATGGACAAAGTCAGGCGCTGCGACGGGCTGGACATATTCGGCAGGGAAGAGCCCTGGCCTGCCATGGATGGCCCCGAACTTCCACCCTGCAGCAGGCAGATGGTGGGGATGGCCCCAGGCTGACAGCCCAGGTGGACACCCCCAAAAAATCTCTGTTTGCTTCCTCCTGCCTTTGCATTCCCAGCCTTTTCCAGGGGTCTGGCCACAGATTTTGGCTGGAAGCAGCTGCAGTTCAGCAGCATTTGAGGTAAAGGCAGGGAAGAGGGGCCACAAAGCCCGTCACCTGCAGGGACATGGGCAGCACCCGGTGCCACCCAGTGTGGGACCCACAGGGGAGCATCCCCCTGCATTGGGTCGGTGCCGAAAAGATCCCAAACCATCCTGCTGAGGATCCTGCCCTAGCCCCCAGCCCCAGGAAGGGACACACCTCAGGGCACACCAGGGACACACATGGGGCAGCGTGGCACTCACCGAAGTCCTGGGTGCCTGTCTTCAGCTCCTCCAGGTACATCACCTTCTTGCGGACCACACAGCCATAGTAGTAGTCTGACACCATGGGGACAGAGGGTGTCACGGTGCAAGACAAGTACATGGCCACCTCTGGGGCAGGTGAAGCCATCAGTTCTGCCATCCCCGTGAGGGTGTTTGACTGTGGGGGGCTGTGTGGAGGCCTCTCACCTCTCTCAGGATGCTCCAGCGACTGGAGGTGGATGATGTCCCCTTTGTGGAAGCTGAGCTGTCCCCCATCCTCTGGGCTGTAGTTCCTGACAGCCACCACATACTGGGAGTCCTGGGCACAGCAGGGGCTGGCACAGCCATTGCGCACAGGGACACCCACACCCCACCCAGCACAGGGGCTTCGAGCACCCACAGCCCCAGGACCACCCCAGGGTGTCCCCCCCAATTCCATGCATGGTCTTATTCAGAGGATGCCCTCCGCTGCCCACCCCAGCCCTCCGAGTGCGGGCACACGGGTAGGGTCTGACCCCCAGGACATGCCCCCCCTCACCCTAGACCCAGGGCACCCCCCACCTTCCTGAGCTCTGTGATGAAGTGGTCGACCATGACCTTGACCTGGGGGGCTTTGGGGGAGAAGAGGATGAGCTTCTCGCTGCGCAGGTTGAACTCCAGCATGTTCCTGGATGGGGTGGTCACGAAGAGCACGTCGGCGTAGCTGGGGCAGGGCGAGGGGAGGCTGAAACACCCGGCACCCATGGCACCCATCCCACCCCGGCCTCCCACGCTCCTCACCCCCACCTGTACGCCCGCAGCACCCGCAGCTGCTCCCCGGGGACGTTGGTGCCCTTCACCAGCCGCAACAGCTTGATGCCGGCGTGGGACACGGCCAGGATCTGCACACCCGTCCCCACACTGCCCTGTGGGCCAGGACAGTGCCTCAGCTGGGGGCACGGGGCCGTGGTGGCCCCCATGCTGACCTGCCCCACAGCCAGATCCTCACCGTGGCAGGGAAGAGACGGGAGAAATACACCTCACAGCCATCCCGGGCCGCAGCGACGATCTCCCTCTTGACGCTCTCGGTGGCCACAGGGCTGAAGGAGTCCAGCTTGTTTTCAGCTGTGGGGAGAGGGAAATACCTCTTGGTGAACATCCTCCCTCTCTGGAAAGTATTCAGGCATGGTTCCCAGCAGAAGCAGGGATGATCATAGCCTTCCCACGCCTGGAAAGAACATGATGGAGAGACCCATGTCCCCCTGGGCAACTGGCTGAGACCTGACAGAACTCATGACATTATGGAGCACTAGGTTACCAGGGGGTCATTGCATTTGGAGGCAAAACTACCCCAGCCAGTCATGGCCCCAGGAGATGAGGCTAGGCACCAGAGAGGCTGCGTTTGAGCCCCCCAGGTGTGTGAGCCCCCCCAGGCAGGGAGCAGCAGGACACGGGGATGTGGTTGAGGGTTACCAAAGAGGGATTTCAAATGGAGCCGCTCCTCCTGGCTGATCCGGATGCAGGTGTCAGACAGCACGTCGTTGAAGATCTGGGGAAGGGGGTGAGGAGCAGTGAGGTCGTGCCAGGGAGCGTGGTGGGACCCCAGCCCCTCTGCCCTGCCCGCTCCCCATGGCTTGGGGCAGCTCCTACATGGCAGCTCAGCAGGGGAAGATGGGACCCCCAGGGGGGCTTAGGAGCCAGCTTGGTGCCTCACCTGCCTGAAGATGAGGTCGAGCAGCAGTGGGTTGTTGATGCTGTCCTTAGGGTAGAAAACCTGTCAGGAGAGAGAACAGGGCTTGGTGAAAAGCCCCCTTTATCCCTGTAGCACCTTGGCACCAGCCTGCCCCTGAGTGTCCCCATAAATCAGTACCTCCTTCCGGATGAATATTTTCCAGGGCACGTTGTGGTAGGTGTAGAAGTCCTCACTGCAGCTCCGGTGCAGCTGGGTCTGGACTTGCTGTGCCTCAGATGGGAGCTCCCGAGAGACAGAGACTGTGAAGGGACAGAAAGCTCTGCAGGAAGGCCCCTCCACCCAGGGAAACTGAGGCACGAGGAGCAGTTGTCAGGTTGAGCCGGACACAGTGGCTATTCCATGAGGGTGCTGTGGAGCTGGACTAGCACCAGGCTGCATAAGGCATCACCCAGTGCCACTGGGAGGATGAGGTGCCCCACTCCACCCTGGCCCCCCCAGTGCCACAGCTCTGCCCAGCAATACCTGGGGGCCGGGTGGCCGCTGGACGCCCCGTGGGTGCTCTTAGCTGGTACCTGGCACTGGGCACCGGCTTCACCGTGGCCACCACCTCCTTGGGCCCCTGTGAGGCACAGAGGGGCTGTGGTCAGGGCCAGTGACACCCCCAGCCTAGTTGGGGGGACGTGGGGGCGGCCACATCCCTACCACAGCCGTTGGCACCGGGGCTGCCGAGAGCTGTTCCTTCAGGATCTGCATGGCTTCCTCGTGGGGGTCCACCTTCTTCCCAAAAAGCTTACTGCAGAGACAGCATCCTACATTGCCTATACCTGGAATCACCTGCATCCTGGCATCACTTGTACCTGGTATCACCAGCATGCTGGAATTACCTGTACCCCAGCATCACCTGTACCTGGCATCAGCTGCACCCCATCGTTCCCTGCACCCCACCATTCCCTACACCCTGGCATCAGGGCCAGCACATGGACTCGCCCATGTGCCCATGGCTTGGCTGGGGACCTGAGTGGGTACCTGGGGGCCTGGGAGCTGCGCAGGGCTGGCTGGCACTGCCGGATGATGTTCCGGATGTCGTGTGTGGGCCGTGGGAAATGCTCCGAGTTGAGCCGGGAATGCCGCACCAGCTCTCCCGGCCACCGCCGCCCCATGGCTGCTGCGGGATCAAGAATGGCTCGGGGGGGGGCTGGACACTGCCCCCACACCTGGGCCCTGGCTCGGTGCCGCGGGGCCCCGTGGCCACCCCACTGCACCAGGACCCCTTACCGGCTTTCTGCGAGTAGGGCCGGGGCTGGGGGGTGCAAGGTGGTGTCCCCTCCTCTGCTCTGCCCTGCAAGGGACACTGTGCCATCAGCACCCAGCACCCCCAGCTGCACCCATCCCCAGGGGCTGCCCAAGGGAGCTGCCCTGAAGCGGAGGAGGGGCTTGACCCCTTCCAGCCCCCCAGCACTGACCAGGAGTCCAGGTGGCTGGTTGGCATCTGGCCGGCTCTGCGGGGACAGGGCTGGCTCTGTGCCTGCGACGACAAAGAGGAGAGATCAGCTGTGAGGTCCTGAGTGCAGGCATGTCCCCCCCACCAGGGACCAGGCTGGGAAACTGAGGCAGGGAGCTGGGGTGGGATGTGGGAGTGCTTGGGGCGCTCACCCCTCGGCTGACGCATCTCCGCAGGAACAGGGGGTCCACTCCGATTGGCATCACTGCCACTGTCCCCCCCTCCCACGCCACCTCCTCCCTTCATCCTCTGTGAGAGGATGGCCGGCTTCTCCAGCTCCTGGAGGGGCAGGAATCAGGGTAAGGTGGCCAAGCCACCTGCACCCCAAAATACCTCGGGCAGGGGGATGCCCCTCTCACCCCATTGCCGTAGGAGAGCACTGGATCGAAGAGGCTGTCCAGGTACCGGTCCAGACCCTTCTGGCTGCGTGGCTCCCCAAATTCCCCATCTGCAGGGGAACAAGGAGTGATGAGCAGCCAGCAGCAGAGCTCCACCAGCATGGCAGAGCTTCACCACAGCACCAGGACCAGGGGGAGGATGTCCTACCATGGGGGTGGTACATCTCTGTGGAGGGCAGCGTGGGGGCTTTCACAGCTGGAGGAGGAGGCACCTCATCCAAATCCAACCCATGTCCCAGCACCCTGTAGAGAGGGAGGATGTGCTCACCGAGCACCTACTAGGTGCCAGATCCCCTCCTCCAGGAGCCCACCCACCCCTATCCAGCACCCATCCAGCCTCGTGCCAGGGTTCATCCAACCAGCCCCACAGCGGGCAACCCGTCCCTGCCCAGGTACCTACACCCGGCTGTCCCTGCCGAGGCTCTCAGTCCCATCCCATGCGATGAGGAAGCAGGATTTCTGTCTGGGGAAGCCCCGGAGCAGCTCGAGGTCGGAGATGAGGTCCAGGACATAGTCATGGCCAGCCAGCTCGGCCCACTGGGCACCCACCTTCATGGCCACGGACCAGCCACGCCAGCCCTCTGCCAGCCCCCTGCCAACAGCCAGATGCTGGGGATGGGGATGGGCACAGGCTACCAGCAGTGCCCCAGCTTTTTAGGGACACTCTGCCCACAAGCTGGGCATCCCAGCTCCCCGATCTTGGTGATATCCAAGACAGCCCTGGGGTGACACCGTGGATGCCAAGCCAGTGCCTACCTGTGCTTCAGGACATCCCCTGCCAGGTCCTCACCCGTGCTCCAGGAGTGGATGGGGCAGGAGAACTGGTCACCTGGGGAGGGATGGGCGGTGAGCTGGTCCCACCGGTCCCCTCCTGCCCGTGAGGGTGGTCACCCTGTGACCGCCCCTCGCCACCACCATGCCCGGTGCTGTGCCAGCCGCACCGTTGAAGCAGTGCAGGTCAAGGGCCATGCTGGCCTGCTGCCGGTTTGCCGTCCACTCCAGCAGCGAGGGCGGGAAGGTGCGGGCGGCTGCCGTGCCCAGCTGGGACTGGGCCATGGCATGCATCAGCTTGCGCTGGCACACTGGCTTGTAGCCAGCAAAGGCATAGTCAGAGACAAACCTGTGGGGAAGGGACGGTGCTGCAGGAGGGACCTGGGTGGCACCCCAGGCACGTGTGCCAGGTTGGCACAGGACCACAGGTCCTGGTTGGACCTAGGCAGTGTCCTCAGGCACAGGTGCCAGGAGAGTGCCCTGAAGAGCCACAGCAATGTCCCCAGGCATGAATGCCAGCCTGTCCCAGAGGGTCCCAGCCATCCCTGCTCCCCATCCCCATCCCCATGCCCATTCTCGGCTCACTTGAGCAGGTACTTGTCGAAGGTGGTGGACGGGGGGAAGGCACTGAGGCAGGTGGCCAACAGCAGCCAGCCCCGCTCCTCGTTGTTGACGTTGGTGTTCCGCCAGACCTGGTTGGCAGCTTGTGCCAGGAGCTCATCCCGCAGCCCTGGCACCGACAGCCCCTTCTGCACGATGTAGTTGCCGAAGAGGGTCTCCTGTAGGCCGCCCAGCCCCGGGTCCCCCATGAACCGCAGGATCTGCCATGGGGACAGCCAGGTACTCCCTCTGGCCCCAGGCAGGGAGCAGGCAGGGGATCACAGTGATGGATCCTGTGCCATCCCACCTACCAGCTGGAAGATGCTGAGTGCCTCGTGGCACAGCTCCTCGTCCAGCCAGGTGAGGGGGGCCTTCAGCGGGGCCGTCAGCATCCCGAACGCCGGTTCCTGCGGCAACACCCGCACCCGTGGCTACCTGGGAACAGCCTCAGGCCACGAGGGGCCGGCCCCAGGGTGCTGAGCGTGGTGCTGATGCTGGATGGGGACTATGGGGCTGCCAAAGGGCTGGGCACAGGATGGGGCTGGCAGCCTGTCAGGAACGGGGAAGGGATGGGCTCAAGCTGTGCTGGCAGCACCAGAGATGGGTGATGAGGCTCTGGCACAGGTTGCCCAGAGAAGCTGTGGCTGCCCTATCCCTGGAAGTGTTCAAGGCCAGGTTGGACAGGGTTTGGAGCAACCTGGGATAGTGGAAGGTGTCCCTGCCCATGGCAAGAGGTTGGAACGAGATGGGCTTTAACATCCCTTAGAACCCAAACCAGTCAATGATTCTATGCCAGCAGTTTGTTGAGGCTGAGAGGAGGATCCAGCATCAGCCCTGGTGCTACCACTCAGGATGCCGGGGACAGGGAAACACAGGGTAAAAATAGAGGGCAAAGAGGAGGAATGGGGCAAAGTGGCCAGGGATGGGGCCGGGGTCCCGGGAGCAAAGCGACCTGGTCTCCCGCCCCAGCGTTCCGGATCTGCCCCGCGTCGGGCGTCCAGGAGGGCTCAGCGGGTCTCTCTCCGATAGCCTCAGCATGGTCCCCCCGGCCTCTGGAGATGACAGGAACCCACGGGGAGGGAGGGAGGTGGCAGCCAGCTCACCACAGTACCACAACCACCCCGGATCCAGCCTCTCTTGCTCCCCGTGGTGTCCCTGGGGCCAAAGCTGGGGCACAGCCCGGTGGGATGGTGTGGGGAACCGCCGCAGGGACCCTGATTCTAAACGCTCAGCCACAACCGGGGTGCCGGGGACCCCCCAAAAGCTGTCTGGACAGGCTCCCCACTGCTGGGCCACGGCATCCACCTTACCTGGAAGTGGCCCCGCACGTACTTGGCCATGGGGTAGTCGTTGATGTCGAGCGGGAGGGTGAGCTTGGAGTCAGGCTGCAGTGCTGGCGGTGGCACCAGGACCACGCAGCCGGTGTTCACCTCCTGGGCGGCTGTGGCACAGCGGGCAGCTATGGCACAGCCAGGGGGATGGGGGAAAGGGGCTGGGGGCGATGGCACTGCAGGACCCGCTCACCTGCAGCGGCCTCCAGCAGTCCCATCAGCTCGGCCGGGATCTCCAGGTGGGTGACATCCACCACCTCCCTCCGTGTCAGCTCCTACCACCACAGCACAGGGATGTGCCCACTCACCACACTGCTCCCTGTGCCAGCACCCATGGGTGCCTCAGCAGGCGAGCACATGGCAAGGACAAGGGCACAGCAACACATGCTGAGCGCCTGTTACCTCCTTCATCCTCTCCTTCTCCTCCTCAGCCCGCCGGCGAGCATCCTCCTTCCTCTGCAAGCAGAGCAGCCATTCTGAGTCTCACCGGGAGGGAGGGAGACCCAGAGGCAGCAGGAACTTGGGGGGTGCCACTGCCTCCCCAAATGTCACCAGGTTTTCATCCCAAGGAGGTACCATCAGTGCCCCATGGGACATGGAGGAGGTGGTAGTATGGGGCCTGGAGGAGCTCAAGGTTTGGGGGGGCTTTCTTCAGACCCACCACTGAACATGCAGCAGGGTGGGAGTAGGTGCCCAGGACACCCCTGGAATGTGCCAGCCCCCACCTCACCTTGAGGTACCGCCGGCGGTTCACGTAGATATGCACCAGCGACCTGAACTTGATGAGCGTGTGCCGCATGCGCCGGTACCGCTGCCTGCGGGAGAGCACCCATCACCCTCTGCCACCCATCACCCTCTGCCACCCACCAGAGCCCCCCTGACATCCCCCAGGACCCCCACCTGGCCAGGTATCCCCGTGCCCGGGTCTGCAGGAGGACGATCTTGCGGCGGAGGGAGCGGAAGCGCCGCTTGATGAAGAAGGTGCGAGCGTAGCGCTGGAGCGTGAGCGCGGCCAGGTGATGGGCACGGGCTCGCTTGCTCTCCAGTACCTGATACAGCTGCTCCTTAAGGAAGAGCTGGGAGCAGGGATGATGCCATGAGCCTCCTGCGTTGGCCACCACCCCCAGGGCACCACCAGAGCCAAAACCCCTCCCAGGGCAGTACCTTGGTGACGCCAACGTAGTACATGCCGGGGTTAACGGTGCAGAGATTCCTCAGCATCTCCACGCAGTTGGCTCCATTGGGAATGATGTTGGACCACATGTCGACGAGGCAGCGGTACCTGGGTGAGCCCATGACACTGTGACCCTGCCGGGACCCCAGCACGGACCCTCCCTGCGGTGACGAGCACCGTGCTTGGAGATGCAGCTTCTCCCGGAGCTGTGCATCAAAGTGAGGGGCTCCCAGCTCCCACTGTGGGGGAACCCCGGCCCAAACACTGCCCCCCAGAACACCCACAAGCTCTGTGGTCTCCTCTCACTGGACCATATGGCAGTACCCCACCCACAGCCCCAGGGCACCTGTCGATGAAGACGAGGAAGGGGATGCGGATGGGGAAGCCCTCCTTGCGGATGCGGATGGTCTCCAGGATGCCCGAGTAGCGCAGCTGGCTGCTGACCACGTCAGCCTCGAAGAGCCCTGGCTCCTGGGGAGGGAATGGGGAGAAACCTCAGTGGCTGCTTGGGCAAACCCCTGCTCAGTGTGTTCCCACCATGCTCCCAGTGCCAGCGGGGCAGGCAGCACTGGCATCACTGCAGGCTGGAAAGCCTTGGCTGTCACCTTCTTGTTGTTGGGTTTGAGGCAGCGCACGAAGAAGGGGTTGCACCTGCAACAGAGAGACCCCATTAGCCATGGAGGACAGAGGACAAAGCCAGCCCGGCCACCTCGGGCTCATGTTCCACTGTCACCCTGTCCCCACCAGCCCAGTGCATGGCCTGGCTGCCCACTCTGACCTCTCCATCCTCTCCACCAGCTCCAGGAGCGACTGCTGGAAGCGGGCGGCCACAGTGGGAGCCTTGTACCGCCGTGTCCTGGTGCTGCTCCTCCGGATGAGGCTCCTCTGCCGGGCCAACACCTGGGCGTGGCCAAAGAAGAGGTTGGCCACCACCTTGGGGAGATGGGAAGGGTTAGTGAGGAGGAAGATGGCTGGGATGGTGCAGCTCCGCTGTCTCCTCTTCCCAGCCCAGCCACTGCCTTTTTGCCCAGCTCTAAGCAAGCTGCATCCCCTATTTGTGGCTGGATTCCCTGGATAGGGATGAGGATGAGGATATGGATTAGGATACAAAGCATAAGAGCAGCCAATGTGCCCATTTGTGTCAAATGCTTGAGGGGTCAAAGCCCAGAGGACCCCACGAAAGGAAGGCACAGGGTGGAGCCAGAGGCATTTTCTGCTTCAGGTCCCCCTTGGCTTCACTGGTCATGGGGACACAGACTTGGGGACATGAAAAGGGATGTATGGCCACCAGCACCCTGTGTCACCACCAAACCAGGCTCAGGCAGGGCCCTACCTTGGTCTTGCTGCTGATGAACAGGTCCAGCACATCCTGACGGACCTGGTCATAGTTTTTATCCAAAAATTTGTGAACCTGGCAAAGAGCAAAACCTCATGGTGAGGAGCCTGGTGGCATGAAGGGGTGAGGTGAGGAGCTCCAGGCTGGGATGGGGAGTCCCAGCCAGACCCCCCCTGTGCTGCACCTCCCTGCTTGGTGCAGGATCAACCTCCTGCTTAACACCCCAGCTGGGCATGCCCCTGCCACACACCTGGTAGGTCACCTTCCCTGCATAGTGCTTGATGGTGAACTCAGGCAGTGGCATCTTGGGCTTCGTGTAGAGCGGGTTTGTCCCATGGTGGTAGTGACACTTCTGGAGGAACGTGTGGTCGGTGGCCTGGGGAGGGACACAGCTTGGGCAGTTCAGCAGCAGGTTGGAGCTTTAAGGTGCCTTCCAACCCAAACCATTCTGGGATTCTATGATGATTCTATGATTCTTGGGGCTTATGCAGTCCAGAGAAACCCAGAGGATCTCCCAGGTTGTCCAGGACAGCACAGGAGAAGAGCACCCCTGGGTCACAGTGATTCCATAACCACAGTGATCACCCAGTGCTGCTGTTTCATTACCAGGCACCCCTCACCTGGGGGAAGCAGCTCTGGTCATCCAGGATCCGGAGGATGCCGTAGGGCTTCTGGGAGATGAGGTCGATGCAGGGCTGGTTGTCGCTGAAGGGGATCTCCTTCCACTCAATCTGCTCCCGGAGATACTCCTCCTATGGGAGCAGATGCAGGTCACACCTGAGCTCTCTCCCCTGGCACGGGGGCAGAGCCTGGCACAGCCCACTGACCCACCTGCTCCTCCTGGAAGACGATCTTGTTGAAGAAGAACTGCAGGTACTCGTTGGCGTAGTTGATGCACAGCTGCTCGAAGCTGTTGAAGTTGAGGTCCTGCGAGAAGGAAGGTCTGTTGAGCCTGAGACTCCAGGAGGATGGAGCCAGGATGGAGGTGGGATGGATCCTGCTCACCTCAAAGCCGTAGATGTCCAGGATGGCAATGGAGAGGGCCTCCTGCCGTGGGTACACCAGCTTGTTGATGCGGTCTGTGAGCCAGCCAAAGAGCAGGGAGTAGAGGGTCTTGGCAATGGCATCCCTGGGAAGGAGAAGAGCGATGGAGCTCTGGAATGTCATGGCATGGCACTGTGTACATCCCCACTGCCATGGCCAGCACCCATCACAGCACAGGGCAGCCCTTAGGGCTGGAGTTTTAATCACTGGAGAGCCTAATCCACACTGGGGGACCTGACCACCTCTTTTCCCAGCTGGCATTTCACCTCCCACCCCATTCCTGAGGGTCAATCCCCCTGTGTCTCCCCAGGAGCACAGCCCCCCTTCCCTCTACCTGGCATCCACGGCGCTTTCAACAGTGAGAGGGGTAAAAATCTTCTCCCGCAGCGTTTCCTGGTTGGGAAACAGCGTGATGGAGTTTTAGCAACACCAGCCACGGTCTCCAGGGACCAGAGACTCCCCTTCCTGCCTGTGCCCCCCTGCACTCACCGTCACCTTGAAGGTGATGGCTTTCTGCAGGCCCTCGGGGGACACCTGCAGCAGCTCAGCCACCGTCCGGATCTCCGTGGCACTCACCACCGTGGCCACCTCCTGGCAGTCGGTCTGCGGGACACAGGGACGTGGTGGGACGTGGTGACCCCCCCACATACCTGCCACATCCCGAACCACGCCCGAGGAGCACATCTTGGCTCCCTGCAGGGTACCTCGTATTTCTCAAAGTAGACGTTTCCCAGGTGGAGGACGGAGGAGAGGATGCGGAAGATGCTGTTCTGCTCGTCCACGCTGAAGCTCAGCACCTCCATGGTGTTGAGCAGCCGGCGGAAATCCTCCGCGTCGTCCTTGCCGGGAATCTCGCAGTTCCCACCCTGGCACAACCCACTCAGTCCATCAGTGGCTCTCAGTGGGGGGAAGAGGGACCAGCAACCAGCGTGGGGGGATCACCCTGCCCTGAGCACCCTCCCCACCCACACACTGAGGACTCAAGGACCCACCAGCGCCCCGAGGCTGGGCAGCCCCCCAAAAATCAGGCAGTGTGGGGGGGCTGGGGAGGGGCACACTACCTGGTTCAGGTAGTAGTAGGTCTCGGCACCCTGCAGGCAGTACCGCTGGCGCTGCTGGGCGGGCAGCCCTGCCAGCATCTCGTAGAAGATGTGGTAGTTGCGCTCACTCTTGGCCTGGGGAGCAGAGGACAGAGCTGAAGAGGGGGAGGCAGAGGGGGCAGAGTGTGGGGCAGAGCCCAGGACCCCCTTGCCACACACCTGGAAGACTACACGGGACTTCTCCAGCAGGTACTGCGAGGTTATGGCACCGCAGATCAAGCCGCTGCAGGGGGGAGAGCAGGCACCCGCTGCAGCCTCAGTGTGGGCAGGGGCTGGGACCCCCCTGAGGTACCCACCCATGCCCTGATGATCCCCCCAGCACACAGGGGGTCAGTGGGGGTGGAACATGGGGACAGGGATGGAGACTGGGAGTGGTCGGGGTTCCAGCCCAGGGCACAGCGTCCCTGCCCCTACCCCAGGGACAGTCACCTGTCCTCAGGTGTTATCACCTTTCCAGCTCATGGTTTGTCCCCAAAAGCATCCCCATGTTTCCCCCCAGAGCCAAGGGTCAGCCTGGCAGCGGGGTGAGGGGCTGAGCTGGGCACTCCCAGGGCAGGGGGACACAGGGGGGAAACAGCCACACACAGGTGTTGCTCAGCATTACTTACTCTTCCAGAAAGATTTCCACAAATTTCCCAAACCTGCTGGAATTGTCATTCCTCACGGTTTTGGCGTTGCCGAAGGATTCCAGCAAGGGGGTCGCCTCCAGGATCTGTTGTGGTGATGAGGAGAGCTGGGGGGTCATCCTGGGCACTTGACACACCACGGGCTGTTCCCATGGTGGGGGCAACCCCCTTGTCACCCCCTGCCACACTCCCTGCCACCCCTGCCCCATGCAGACACCCATGGGTGCCCAAATTCGAGGTGTGCACCACAGCCAGGTTAAATGAGGATGTGGTAGAGCACAAGGACCCCATCAACATGCATGCACCAAGCTCCTCCTGTCCCTCCCACCATCCCCCTGCAGCTGGGGTGACATGGCCAAGATGCCATCACGATCTCCATCCCCTTGAACTGTCCCAGCTCAAGTGTCCCCCCCGGTACCTCTATCTGCCGTGGTCCATGTGGAAGCGTGGGGACAAGGAGAGAGCAGCCAAGCCATGAGCAGGGGTGGAGGAGAGCACAGGGAGAAGAGGACAGGGACATAGGGACATAGATATACGGGGATGGGGGTGTCCCCAGGGCAGCAGCCTACCTGCGGGGCAGTGCTGCGTTTCTGGCTGACGGCTGCCAGGTAGCGCAGGATCAGCTTGGTGGCTTCGGTCTTCCCTGACCCACTCTCCCCACTGAAATATAGAGTGGGAGCATGGTTGGGGTCATCCCCAGCCAAGCAGGGAGTACCCACCCTAAACCTTCCTCAAAACCCCAGCACCCCACCCCCAGCAGCACCACCTCAGCAATTAGGGCAGTGCTGATTAGGGGTCATGTCCCACCTGATGATGATACACTGGTTGTGTTTGGCATCCATCACTTTGGAGTAGGCGACGTTTGCGATGGCAAAGAGGTGCCTGTGGTGGGGGGAAGCAGAAGAGGGAGGGGATGTGGTGTCTCAGTGCCCCAGCACAAGGACCCCAAATGTACCCCAAGCACCCCCATGCATGGACACACATGGTCCAGCACCCAGCACCCAAGGGTCCCCAGGGGCTTGGGACCACCCAGGGCTGCTGTGGGAGCCAGAGGAGGGTGACAGCAGGTAAGAGTGCCCCCATCCCTACAGGATATTTGGGGCCACCCTGGTACTCACGGTGGGTTCTCCCCCAGGGCTCTGCCTTCGTACTGCAGCACCTGCTCCGTCCCATAGATGTTGTAGAGCCGGTACGGGTTCACTGACACCAGGATGCTGCCGATGTAGGTCTGCCAGAGAGGGAGGTTTGAGACTGCAAGGTCTGGGAGGGCGATGGCCCTCCACAGACCTCACACCAGGGGTCTTTGGGGGATGCTGCACTCCCCTAAACTTACATAGATGAGCTGGCGCTCAAACCGTGTCCGGATGTTGTTCAGCACTGCGGCCTCCTGGAGGTCTCTGGCACGGGGCAGAGGCTGCATTATGGGGTGGCAGGGGGATGGAGGGGTCCCCAAGTGTGTCCCCAGCATCTCCAGCCCTGGGAGGCTGGAGTGGCCCCCGTGTTGGAATGGGATGGGGTGGGAGCAGCCAGGCCAGGGCGCATGGTTGGGGAGCAGCCCCATCAGCCCCCTGGGTCACAAAGGGGATGGGGACACTCACTCCAGCTGGGTCATGTCCTCCAGCCCGTCCTCCTCCTGTGGCTCCTGGTACCGCACGATGGGCAGGCTGCACAGAGACTGCATCTGCATGGAGCAACCACCCCAGCTCTGTCATGGCAGGGCTGTGCCAAACCCCTCAGCTGTCCCACCTAGTCACCACCACCCCCAAAACCCACCATCTGTCACCCCAAACCAGGGGACACACAGCCAGTAATGGCAGAAACCTCAAGAAAACACCCTACAGCCCTGCAACCCCTCAGCGAGAGTGTTGTGTGTCACAGAAGAGCAGCAGAGCTGGATACAGGGACACGGGGCCACCAAGGCATCCTTGGAGATGATTCCAGGAAAGACTGGTCCTGAGAAGCCCAGTCTTGCTCACTGTGCCACTCCCACCATGGCTGCAAGGGGTGGGCAATGGAGGCTCCTGGGCAGGATGGCACCTCCAGGGAAGGTGATGGAAGGGGGCCGAGCCGCGGGGCTGAGGCTGCTCCCCATGGCCGCGGGCAGAGGTGACACAGGACGGGTGTCACCCAGGAGGCTGCGCTGGCGGCCGGCCAGGTGGTGGGCAGGAAAGCGGACACCCGCCGGGTCACCGTGCCACCCGCACCCGTCCCCGCCGGATCGCGTCTCCACATTTCCATACACCAGAGTCAAGTGTCCCCAAAGGGGCCGTCCGTGGGGGGACACACAACGGGCGATGAGCTCCCCCTCCAGCCTGCTCCCCACGGCAGGACCCCCGCCAGCACCCAGACCACCCATAGCCAAGTACCCTCCACCCCGAGCGCTGCGAACCCTCTGGCACAGGTGGCTTTGTTCCCCGGGAAGCCGGCAGCCACCTCAGCACGCCACCCCATCCCTGGTCCCGCCGGCTCGCCCCCCGGCTCCATCCCCCCGTGGGGGGCTCCCCGCCGGCGTTACCTTGGTGCGCCAGGGCTGCTTGGTGCCCAGGTACCCGTCTGCCCAGGGGTGCCTGTCCCGCCAGCCGCCCCCCGGCGAGCGCTGGCTCAGGTATCGGGCGATGTCGGCTCTCCGCTGGCTCGCCCACCGCCGGCCGCGCTGGGTGGGCTGCTGGGGGGGGGCCCTGCTCTGCCGTCCAGGCGTCGGGCATCTCCCGCACCCGCACGACGTGCTGCGTGGACCAGTGCTGCTTGTACATGCGGGACGCGCGCCGGAAGGAGCCCAACCTCTGCACCTGCGGCGTCACCACCGCGTAGCGCCCCGCACCCTCCTCCCCGGCCGCCCCTTCGCCCTCGACGGGCTCTGCCGGCTCCGGGGGCCGAGCGCCGTGGCGGGGGCCGACAGGGGAGCCGGGGGCTCGTCCGTGTGGGGGTGGGAAAGCGGCGCGACGCTGCGGTGAAGGGCTCCGGTTGCCCCGCGGGTTGGAGGGGGGGACGGGGTGCCCGGCGTCGGCCCAGCCCCGGCGCCCCGACGGTGGGCTCGGTGACCTGCGGGTGCTCCCGTCCCGCCGGGATGGGCGCCGGGGCAAGGAGGGCGAGCGGGTGGAGGGGTGGCGGGAGGGTGGTGAGGATGGGGGGGCTTTGGTGGAGGCCATGCTCCTGACCAGCAGCGATGCGAGGGACTGCCCCACGGAGCGCCCCGAGGAGGGGCTGTGCCCCCCTGCTTCCGCAGACGGCCTGGCCGGCGGGGTGTGGGGGGCCATCCCAGCAAGGGGCTGCCCGATGCGCTGGATGAAGCTTTTGGGGGTGCTGGGAGCGGGGCTGGGCGGGGGAGGCACCCCGGCGAGACCCCGCGGGGCTCCCTGCCAGGGGGGCAGTTCTTCATCCCAGGAGGGGCCGGGGCGGCCGAGGCGACGGCTGCCGGGGCGGGAGGACGGTGCCAGGAAGGGGGTCCTCTGCAGCGGCTTCACCGCCTTGGTGGGGGGCTCGGGAAGCCGTGGCCAGGCCTGGGGGAGCGGCAGCCCGGGGGGGCTGCTTCGCCGCGTTGACAGGGGTCTCCCCGACCCCGCCGCGGGGCCCCCTAAACGCCTCCCCCCCGCGGGCCCCGGTGAGCGGGGGGCGGCCGGCGGCGGAGCGGGGGGCTCGGGGTTGAAGCGCCGGAGGCTGGCACGGAGGGATCGCAGCGACCCCTCGCCCCGTGTGCTGCCGGGGCGAGGACGGGCTGGCGGTGGCGATGGGGAGCGCCCGGGGTTGGCGAAGGGGTTGCGGAGCGACGGCCGCCGCGCAGCCCCCGGCTCCCGGGGAGGGGGCTGCACCCAGGGCCCCGCCGGCGGGGAAGGGTCCCGGCTCCCCAAACCGGCGCTCTCCATCCCCGCCAGCCTGCGGCTGGAGCGTCTGTAGGAGGGCTGGGGGGTGCGGGGCCCCCGCAATCCCCCTGCACCCCGCGGCGGGTGGCTCTGAGGCTGCGAGAGGGAGCGCTGGAGGAACTGCCCCAGAGGGCTCCCGCACGCCCGCGCTGCCGAAACCCGGCGTGCAGGGGATGCTGCGGGGCCGGGGGCTGCCGGGGGACGCGGCGGCTCGTACTCGTCGTAGTCGTCCTCGTCGCGGGCGGCGGGCAGGTGGGGAGACGGCGGGAGGGGAACGTCCAGGCGGTCCCTGCCGAAAAGCTTGACCTGGGGCCGGGGGAAGAGCCTGAATTTCCTGTTGAGGGAGAGCTTGGAGGAGAGAGTCTCCCGCATGCCCCGGAGTGAGGAGGCGCTGAGGATGGAGAAAGGGTAGTCCTTCTCCTCCTCCTCCTCCTCTTCCTCCCACTCCTCCGGCTCCTCGCCCTCGGCGATCTCCTCCAGCCCCAGGGCATAGGGGTTGCAGGAGGACTGGGAGTGCGGTGCCCACCCCCCCTCGCTGTACTGGATGCGATGCTCAGGGTACTCCCCGCCGGGGTAGCCCCCAGCAAAGGGCTCCCCAAAGTCCTCGTAGGGGTCCCCCCTGTAGCCAAAGGGCCCCTCTGCCTCCTCTCCATACTCGAGGTCGCTGCCATAGGGGTCGTAGAGGCCAAGGGGAGACCCACCCCCAAATGGCCCCTCATCCTCGAGCTCTGTGTAGCCATAGGGATGTCCCGGTGGGTCACCCTCCTCCCAAAACCCCCCATAGGCATCGTACTCCTCCTCCTCCTCTGTTTCATAGCCAGGGTAGTCAGCATAGGGGGTCGGCACCGCATCCTCAAACCTGTACCCAGCCGGGTAGGCTGGGCTTTGCATGTAGCCTTCTTCCTCCTCGGAGTAGCCGTGCTGGGGGCTGAAGGCTCCATCTTCCTCATCAGTGTAGCTGTGCCACGGGCCATAGGCTCCATCCTCCTCAGCGTAGCCGTGCTGGGGGCCGTAGGCTCCACCTTCCTCCTTGGGGTGGCCACGCCAGGACCCATAGGCTCCATCTTTCTTCTTGGCATAGCCACGGCGGGAGCCGTAGGCTGCGTCCTCCTCCTTGCCGTAGCCACGCCGGCGGCTGAAGGCTCTGTCCTCCTCCTCGGCCCACCCGTAGCGCGGCACCGGCGGCTCCGCCGGCGCGTGCTGGGAGCGCCGCCGGGACGGACGCCTCACCATGCTGCCCTGCCGCGCAGCGCCAGGGGCCAACAGCCCGCTGCTGCCAGGGATCCTCTTCATGTTGGCCCGGTGCCTGAGGATCTCGTCTTCCGCAGGGAACGGCAGCTTCCTGGCACCGATACGGGACAGCCAGGCCGTGTCGGTCGCCCGGCTGCCCCCCGTCAGCCCCGTCAGCCGCCCGCGCCGTGAGAGCACCTTCCTGGCCAGCCAGCCCGTGGCGGCGGCCGCCTTGCTCAGCACCCGTGCCCGCGGCTTGAATTTCCTTTCCGGGCACCGGCGGAAGAGCAGCGCGCCGTCCTCGGCAGCCTGCCCGCCCCGTCGCAGCAGCAGGAACGACGGCTTCGATGGCGCCTCCTTCTTGGCCTCCTCCTCCTTCTTCTTCTTGGCCTCCTCCTCCTTCTTCTTGGCCTCCTCCTCCTTCCTCTTCTTGCCCACGTGCTTGAAGCGCATCATCAGGTTGGAGGTGGACTTGAGTACTGCCTTGTTCTTCTTCTTCTTCCTCTTCTTGGTGCTTTGCTTATGCAGCCCCCAGAAGAAGCGGGATGTGTTCTTGAACTGCCCCTTCTTGGGCCGATGCAACCCCAGCTTCTTGAAGCCCATGAAGAGCTTTGAAGTGCTGCGGAGGCTCCGCTTCGCCCGGGTCTTTGGCGCTGCTGCCTCCTCCTCCTTGGCCAGGCCGGGTTCCGCGGACTCTTTGGGTTGGGCCTTGGCCTCCGCACCCTTGGCCCCTTTCTTCTTCTTGTCAGCCGCCAGCCCCATCATCATCTTGGAGGTGCCCTTCAGGTTCTTCTTGGACGTCGTGGCATCACTCTCCTCCTCCTCCTCCTCCTGCGTCTCCAGCTGCACCTTCTTTCCCCGGCCTATCTTCATTGCCACCCCCGCCTTGGGCAATGCCTTCTTCTCCTTCCCCTTCTCCTTCTCTTTCCCCTTCCCCTTCCCCTTCTTGGGGTCCTCTGCAGCTTCCTCCTCCTCATGCTTCTCCTCCTCCACCACCTCTGTCTCCTCGGTCTCCTCTTCCTTCAGCAGCTCTGCATCTGAGGCATCCTCTGACTCGCTGGGATCCTCCTTCTTGCCCTTCTTTCCAGCCTTCCCTTTCCCGTTGTCCCTCTTCCCTTTGGCCTCCTTTTTGGGAGCCTCCTTCTTGCCAGCCATCCCGGTGGTGGCGGGTGCTCATGCTCCGGCCCCGGTGGGGCTCTGGAAGATGATGCCCTGTGCCGGCATGAGCCGGCTCCCTGCACACCGTCCGGCTCCCGACCCCGCCACCTGCCCCGGGGGGGTATTTACCTGTGCCTGGTTTTGGCGAGGCACATGCCCGTGCGTGGCTCCCTCGGGCGCCTGCGGCCGCCCGCTTGGCATCGCCCTGGGGCGGCGGGACGGGCCCCGGGGCAGCCCGGGGAGCTGCCTCCTGCCTCCCGCACACCCCGCGAGTCGGTGGCTGGGCTCGGGCTGTAACCCAACCGCCGGGCTCACGGCGGCATGAATAATGCAAGGGATGCACCACGCTGGCCCCGAGACTTTTCCGAAGGAGCAGGGAAGGGCCCCCGCTGCTGGGAGCGTCCCCCAAGACGGACACTGCGGAGGACAGCGCTGTCACCACCCAAAAACTGGACCCTGCCACCTCCCGGCCTCTCGGGGCTCCCTCTGCCCTTCCCTGAGGAATCGGTCTCTTCCTGCAGTCAGCACGGAGACGGATGAAGCCCAGGGATCCCTGAAGCCAAACGGCGGTGCCAGGAGAGAGGTGACAATTTTGCAGAGCCCAAGGCGGCAGGGACACAGCCAAGAGGAGCAACACAGGGGAGGAACCCAGCACCGGTCCAAATCCCACAGCCCCACAGAAGCACTGAGGAGCCCGGAGCCCACAGGGATACCCCCACCAGTGCCACACCAGGCAGGGTGGCAGGTACAGGCAGGGTGCCCTCACACACAGCCAGTGAGGGGGTTTGTCTGTGCCACACGTGTGCCCTGCGGCGGTGCCAGCAGCCTGTTGGCACACACAGGTGCCCAGGCGTGGGGTGACCACATCAAATGTTAATGCCAGAGCTGGATTCCTGCAGCTGCAGCTCATCAAAGTTTAAGCAGCAGCAGTGGGAACTCACTGTCCTTCACAGATCACCTGTGGGCAGGGACAGCACCCGTTGCACTCCCTTGCTGGCGGTATCTGGGGAGACCCAGGGGGGAGCAGCAGCATCGAGCTGTGCAGCAGCTGGTGGAACCCAAGAACAAGCAGCACTTGCTGGACTGAACCCGTTGGTGTCCCCCAGGACCAGGAGAGCCCCACGGCTGGCATCTCCTGGAACTCTCTTCTCCCCAGCCTGGGGCCTCCCTGCCACATCTACAGCAGAGAAGCATCAGCCATGATCCCAAGGCTTTGCCTCCTCCGTGGGTGGATTTCTGGGAGGGAGACACGTCTGTGGGGTCTGCACAGACAGTGGCTGCCCTGGAGTGCAGGGAGAGCAGAGGGATGGAGCAGGAGGAGAGGCATCTGGCAGGTATTGGGAGAGGGTCTATGGGGTAACAGAAACACAGGATCAGTGGGAAAAGAGCATCAGTAAAGCCCAAGCTACATGGAAGCACTGCCCTGCAGGAGTCCCACCTGGCACGGGCACGGTCCACTCACAAGTCTGCCATGGGCACCAAGGCATGTGGGGCTGATGGACCCTGCCCTGCCTGGGCACAGGTGTCTCCCCACACTGCCCCATCCCTGCTCCAGCACGGACACACAGGGCCTGGGCACCATGATGTGGCAAGGAATCACCTCTGACACAGGCACAACCCCTCCCTCTCTGCTGGCAGTGAGCAAGGGGGTTCCCAGCTGGCAAGAAGCAGCTGCAACCTGCATCCCACCACTCGTGCAGTCCCTGCTGCCATCCCACTGCCCCTACAGTCCCTACCTCCATCCCTCCCAGGCAGGGCAGCGGGCCCCACAGTGCTCTCGGTGCCCTGGGTGCTGGCACAGCTCCCTGTGCCGTTTCCATGGCTGTACCCATGGTGCCTCCCTGCCCATGACAAGGGCTTTCCAAGAGGAGGAAGGAAGGAAGAAAGAGAGTGAGCTTCATCCCACACAGGTGCTGCCTTCCACAGTCTGAGCTCCCATACCAGACCCCCTCACACCTCCCCATGTTCCTCATCCTTGGGCACAGCCTTTGGCACAGCAGAGCTGGGAGAAGGGCATTCGTTCCCAGACTCAGTGGAATGGTGGCAGAGGCTGGAGGGGAAACCCAAGGCCATGAACCCCAAACTGTGGGCACCCACACTCGGTGGCTGTTTCCAGGGTGTCTGGGCATGGCTGCATCCAGCAGCAGGACATGACAGAGACTGTGGGTGCAAAATCTGGCAGTGAGGGGTCCCTGGGGTGGCAACAGGAGAAGATGCCCAGAGCATCCTCTGACCATGTCACTCCTGAACGGCTCCAGCCACGTGGGTGAGTCAGGGAAGGCCATCTCACCCCAGGGACACAGGCTGGGACAGTCCCAGTCCCTTTGCCATAGCCAGGGGCTGTGCCATGGCTGGATGCAGGGAGGGGATGGAGACAGTTCACCCGCCCCAGCCCGGCAGGACGCGCGGCTGCCCGACACTGTACCTTTGGAGTGTTCCTTTGGAGTGTACCATCGGCGGGCAGAGCTCCGGGGGCAGCAGCTCCGTGTCTCCAAGCAGGTCTGCGGTCACCAGCCGGCCCCGGGTCCGCTTACAGCCTGTTTCCAGTTACAGCCGGAGCAGGGCTCCGTGCCACCACACCACACCACGGCGGCCCCATCGCTGCCGTGCCTCCCGGGAGCTCTGTGCTCCAGCCCCAGGCAGCCGGCCCGGGCACCTCCCGGCTGCAGCAGCGTCTCTCTCTCTCACCATATCCCCTTCCCTGTCATCAGTTCTGCATCATTGCACATCCACTTTCAAACACCTGTGGGCAGGTGGGGCCACCCTGCTGCAGCTCTTGTCACTCCAGTCACAGCCCCAGGAGTGCCAAGAACACAGGGATAAGCTGGACCAAGCCAGCAACGTGACAGCAGCACAGACCTCCAAGCCTCCAGGGCAATGTGGGGTCTCTCCATGCTCCTCCGAGCATCCATCACCCCCCTGACCTGGCTAATTTCCACCCCCTCCAGTTCCCCCCTCCAAATTGAGCATGGGGACCCAGCACATGGACAATGCACGGCACATCCCTGCCTGCCAGCTGCTGCCTGCTGCCCACGAGGGAGGTGTTATGGGAGGAGAGAGGCTGGAGCAGATGCTGGAAGCACAGACCAGCTGGGCATGATGCTGGCGTGCACCCAGGAGTGCTGGCTGGCAGCCCTGGAGCCAGGTCACAGCCCTGGGCCATCACCTCAGTCCCAGAGCCAAGCCCAGGAGCTTTCCCAGGGCAAAACAGCCCCATGGAAAAAGGACTGTGGGGAAGGGTTGGTAGGAGACCTGGGGCAGAGGGTCCTGGGGAAGGAGGGGGCATTCAGGGGAGGCTGCTCTGCTCTGGAGGGCCATGGAAACATGGGGCTATTGGGAAGGTGGGAGGCAGAAGATGAGATGGGGGGGATAAAGGCAGCGAGCACACAGGTAGGGGCAGGCAGGTACAGGCAAGGACAGGCAGAGGCAAGAGGACACCACACACCCTGTCCCAGAGGATCTGAGCTGCAGCGCTTGCCTAAGGACCAACATCATGCACAAAGGTCAGTCCAGCCAAGGCAGCGTGGCACCTGTGAGCCCAAGGGAAGTGCCACCCAGCTGGGGGAGCTGCAGCCACTCACCTGGGGTAGCCAGCTCGCCTGCATGGCCTGGGGCTGGCCCGGTGCTCCTGGCTCTGCTCCTGCCGGGGACCATCCCTCCCCATCGGTGCAGCAGCAGCTGCAGGACCCAATGCATATTTGATGAGTGCTATTATTCTCATCTCCACTCATGAGCGCAGGGATGGGAGCTGATCTTCCCTCGGCAGAGCTGGGGAGGGGCAGGGAGGCAGCGAGGGTCCTGTCCTCCCGTGGTCCCTGTCCCTTCCCTGGTGACACAGCTGGACAGTCCCACAGCCCCTTCCCTTCTGGAATACAGATCTGCACTTCAGTGCAGCCCAGATGTGAACAGCTGGAAAATGGCCCTGACCCCTTCCTGCCCTCAAAACCAATGCAAGTTCAGGACAAGAAATCACTGGGACAGGGGAGCTGGGGACAAATGCACCCCCCCACACCCTACTTCAAAGCCGGGTTGGGAGCAACCAGCTCCTGAGGCTCTGGCAGCCTCATACCAACAATACTGAACCACCCTCTCCTTCTCAAGCAAGCAGGGCATCTCCACCTCCCTTCACAAAGCTTCCTCCTCCCCCTCCCAGCACTGGGTTCCCGCATCCCACCACACTGGGGACCATTTTCCTGCAGTGATGGAGCCTGTGGCTCTCCCAGATGCGAGGGCAGCAAGAGCATCCTGCTGCAGCACCCGAGCCGGGAAAACCTCCCCACTTCCTTCTCCTCCAGGCAGGCACGTCCCCGCCGTAATGCGGTGGGTATTTATTATGCTGATTCCTCAGAACTGCGAGGGCTTAACTGCAAATTACAATCAATAGCCCCAATCCCCTCGGGGCAGCTTCATCATTTAGCAGGCGCAACCAGAGGAATTCAAAACTATTTGCCAGCCATAAATCCTCCTCCCCGCAGCCCTCCCGAGCCGGCCCCGCGCCACCCGATGGCTGGTTGGGGTGACCCTTGTCAGCATTTGAGACAATTAAGCTGTCACTGCGGATCGTGACTCTTATATACAGCCCCGAGCGGCACTTGGGGATGTCACCGTGATGGGGTGAGGGGAGCTGGCTGAGCTGAGCCCGCCGCAGCAACCGTCTCTCATTGAATTAAATGAATGTATTTGGAGGCAGAGTCGCTTTTTATTACCTTGCAAACGATTCCTGACTAAATTAATTTATAAGAAGGGTGTTCAGCCAATCAAACCTGCTTGATTGCCTGGAACAGGCATTTTAAACAGAGCACGCCTGGGGCCGCCGCTGGTTCCAGAGATGGAGGGTGGCTGATGGGCTGCAGCGAAGCTGATCCGCCCTGCTCCACACCTGGAGCGCTGTGCTCAGCCAGAGGAACGGCCCCAGGGATGGGGCAGGGTGAGCACAGCCCTCTGGGAAGAGCAGGAATGAACCTGGAGACGGCTGGAAGAGCAGGGGAAGGGCAGGA